TCGATATAGTCGAATTGTTACCCTATTAGTGAATTCAGTCACTTTTGGATTACGTTAGATCAATGCGTATTAAAAGCTGCTTTACATGAAATTAGCAAAGTTAAATGTAAAAGTATATAAATATTTTAAAGAATTGACTATCTACTAATAATATTGTCACATTAATTAACAAAATATATATGTATCATTTAATTGCCAAAGTTGATTATATTGTATCACTGCATTGAGATATTTTATATGAAGCAATTTTTAATATGCACTGATCCAGTATAGTGTGAGTGATTGAATTCATATCAGGTCATAAAAATGTTTTATGTTAAATGTTTACAGACTTTACTTTATATATCAACAAAGCATTATTGATACACTTAGAATTGCATATGATGCTGAAATATATCTAATGTGTCTCTCAAGGCATTTGAGAATTCCACGAAAGAATCCGGAAGCGTTTCCCGGAAAGAATACAACCGGGAGGATACAAAAATCTGTCAAGTATCAACAAAGGGAAGGGATTTTGTTAAGTTAAAGAAATCAGTCCCGCCTCTCACTATAACCTTTGTATCGCGGGACAAATGGCAGAAACATGTTGAGTAAGAACGAAGGACAGTCGGGTTTACCTATAAATTTCCGCAAATTGGACATTCTAGCTGCAAGCATGGAAACGTTCCCAGGCGGAGATTGTTTGTCCGGACGTCCGGTCGAGGGTAGACAGAGAGGTTAGCTGAGGTTAGCAGGTGTCCACCGTTTCAACCGGCTGGATCGACACATGGATGGAGTCCAATGAAGGACTGACGTTACGCTTTCATGCGCAGTAGTGATCGTCCCGACGCTATCCTTGCTTCCACGCGTCATCGATCAGCCTATATAGCAACTGATAGCAACTACCGACCTAACTACTGAATCCTGATCTTTGATATGTTCAAAAATAAAAATACAGACACGTACGCAATTAAAAAAATTAGACGGAGTTTTGAAGTCCAATTGAAAATTCTATAGCTGCATGAAATTTTCATCTCTGCAGTATAATTCTCTTTTTCGTAATGTAATATTGTAATTACATAATTATAATAATATATAGTTATATATATTTGTAATATATGCAAGATTTGTAATTCTGAGCTCCATTGGTTTGATATATATTCATTTTTGTATTGCCTTTCTTTTTCTATCTCCAATAAGAAAAAGAAGACACCAAGTAAATATTGTCAAGCTTCTCAATGTTCAAATCTTAAACAGCGTTAATATTGTGTCACTTTGGTGAAAATTTTTTCAGAATTTTTATATGAATTTGAACATTTTCAGAAATACTGACAAAGGTTACATTTTTTTTAGAATTTTTTATTACATATGAATTTGGAAATATTCTTTAATTTTTTAGAATTTTATGTAAAAAAATTTTAGAAGTTTCAAAACATTTGTTAATTATTTTTCAACATTTTAGAAATTTTTTATACAAATTGAAATATTTTTCAAGAATGTAAAAATCTACATCTTTTCTTCATATTATATAAATTCTGAAATACTCTGAAATTTATTCTATAATTTTTGAAAAAAATTGTTGTGTACTTTTTCAAATTTTATAAAATTATTTTATAAATTATAAAAATGAGAAATTTTAGAATACTTCAGAGAATTCACATACATGAAGAATTTTGGAAGATTTTTTCTGCATAGACTTTCTTCGCACTTCTGAAAAATGTTACAATTTGTATAAAAAAAGTCTAAGAAAATTTCTAAAATGGTTAAAAAATTTCATGCTTAGAAAGTTTAAAAAATCCAAAAATTTACATTAAAATTCTGAACAATTACATAAAAAATTCAGAGAACAATTTTCAACAAGTTACTTATATACATATAAACTGTAATTCCAAAATAATTATATAATTAAATAAAAATCTCAATTAAATATGTTGCAGGCTGCTAGAAATTTTTTCAAACTTTTAAAAATCAAAATTGCTAGACTTCATATGAGCCTTATTATCTTTCTTATTAATGAGAAATATTGTTACACACACAGATATATAATAATAAGTGTTGCCTACTTTTTACAAGTTTTTTTTATTTAGATACGCTTTTTGATGATATAACAGACAGGATACAACGAAACATTTCGTTTTTGTATTTGTTGATTTATAAATCTTAATGAATTAATATAAATCTTAATCTACGTAAATAAGAGTTTCCTCTTGACTCGATGCGCTTGTGAATGTATGGAATTTTTCCTCAATCATACTCGCGAATGGAATATTAACAGATGCGAGGCGTTACTGTATTGCAAATGCACCATCGTTGCTCTCGAAGTTCTAGAGTTCGTTCGTGAAACACGATTACCGGAGCGATTTAATGATCGTGTTAATCTTCTCAATACAGTCCTCCTTTTTCCTGGAGATCGTCGTCTCCATGTCGATGAATTGCTGCCGACTGATCTTGCCCGGGATCAGTTTCTCCAAGTACAATGCCTGCAATTGGCCGTAGATCTCCTTCAGATAACGATCGCACTTTTGTAACTCCTGGATGCGATCATACACATCGGTGGACTCTCCCTTTATCTTCTGCGCGATCTCGTTGAGTGCGTTGTTCGCCGCCTTATATTCTTGATTGATACCCTTTATCGCAGACTGGAAACTGTTGGTGTCCTTAGACACTTTCAGGTACGATAACTGCTCTTCCAGATTATAGTAAGTTGCGATCCTGCGGTCCTGAGCAGCGAGAACTTTCTCGCACTGACCAGCAATCCTCAACTTGCTCTCCGACACTTCATCCTTATCGATGGAGAAGTCACATCTCACATATACTATGACTGCCAGGAACATCAGCCACAGCGCCAGCACGATCATCAGCGGTTCCTGCAGCATCAGTAGACGCGGGAACGTATACTTGAGCCTGAAACTCTGAATATGATTCTCTACCAGATTATTTTTAGTCACAGATATCACTGGACGGCCAGTAACATCCAGATACGTATAATGCAGGGAATCTGGCAGGCGGGTTACAGGATAAGGCAGCTCCAGCTTTATGTTCCTTGCACCCTCTGGCAGAATGATCTTCAGGACCATCTCATCCACCACCATGTCGTCAAAGATGTGATCCAGCAGTCTCATCTCCAAGGCGAACTCGTCCCCAGAATGGAAGAGGTACTCGTAGCTGGGTACATTGTACCCAATTGTGTAACGAGTCTTCCAGCCACCGAACAATGGAAATCTCGGTCGTAGATTCAGCTCCACTGAATCCTTCTTGATGCGGGTGTGCGACGTAGAGATGTTACCGATTTCGTCTCTGTAATAAATGTCGGAAGCGGCCGCTGGCAGAATAGTATCGAAACTTTGGATACTCGCCTGTCCAGATTTGGATTCCCGAGCATACTCGTAACGTGAGAAGGAGCCTTTCAGCAACGCTCCGGTATGTAAGAGATCAATATGCTCCTCGACAGCTATGTTACCCCAGTGAGAGATCTCGAGGACCCTCTCAAGCCTCGTTACTGTGAGGAACTTATTGTTGTTCTCGAAGTGTACAGTCATCTCCTCATAAGAGAATGGTGGCTGAGACTCATATGGACCATAAGCCAACATCGAGCCAGTCTGGGAGACAGGCTTGATCTTGGTGTAGCTCTCGAGATTGCGAGTGGGCAGTGCCACGTAGGTGGTCTGCTTGGTGACAGGATAGGGCAAGCAGGCATATACATTGCCCGTGTACCTGACGAGTTGCTTCTCCTGTTGTGTGATCTGCTTGGGATGCGGCACCAGCTCGTGCGTGAATACCGTTTCCAGTTCAATGGTGAGAGAGCGCCGAGCCGCCAGGTGGTTGCCAAGATCAACGGAGTAGAAGACTCGATCGCGATGCGTCGGTACCTTGGTCTCCTTCACCTTCAACTCCAGTTTATCGGGCTCTACACGTGCCGCTACGTAACTGATGAATCTGCTCTGAGCATCGTCCAAGCAGAAGAGGAAATTCCGGACGCGATCTTCCTTGCTTTGCTTGTTTTCCATCACCACTCGAGTGGTGATTTTGGTTAGCTGGGACTGCAAGTCGATGTGTCGCTCGACGCTCCTAATGGTCAAGTTCGGGTCCACGATTCCGTCCAAGTTGGCCGCGGTGCAACCGCTGTACGCTTCCAGGTAGAATACGAGAGCGCAGATTAGCGCACCCGCGTGAACGCGAGACATTGTCGATGAGACTCCGAATCGTTAGGAATTTTTATAATTCTGTCTCCTGATGGAACGGACTAACGAAGCGGCACGATAAACGTCCTTCTCCTTGTACGTTGCGCACTCGCCGGTACGCGGCGACACGGTTAGCACATAACAAAATACGTGGCGTTCGTCTATGGCGCCGGCTAGTTGCGCGCATGTCAATATGTAACGATGCGGCCAGCAACGCATCATTGCGAGAACATACGTTCACGTTTACAAATGGAATGTCCGGTTTGAATTGAATCATTTGATTGGTCTATATTTTAGGATCTAACGGAATATGCTAATCAAATGCAAGAACTCACTAAGCGCTCAGTGAGTTCTTGCATTTGATCAGCATATTCCGTTAGATCCATTAGATATAAATATTTGGCTCATACATTATTAAATTTATGATTTTTTATTACATAAATGTTCCATAAATAAATATGCATACTTGTAAAGCTATAATATCCTATATATTGAAGAAAAGTTACAATTTTTTCTCTATTGATTATCTCTGTTGATAATCAAATTTTGACGATAACACAATTTCACAAGCACTGTAAGCGGTAAAGTGAACACAGCTTCAAAGTGCGTTCAGAGATAATATTGGGTCATCTAAAAAGTATCCGCGGTTTTTTGTCACTAGATGTGTGTTGATGCTCATATATCTAGTGACAAAGTACCGCGGATACTTTTTAGATGATCCAATATTTTATATGGTAAAAAAAACTGCACAACATCACATAATGATATCGACAGTGTCGTTATGAAATTAGAGAATAGCTGATTATAGAACTGCTGATTGCTTACCCATTGTTAAACAAGGATAAGATGATACAGGGGGGTACCCAGGTGAAGTTTCCGAACGCAGCCATAGTGGGTAATGAACATCCGTGAATCCGAAGGACGAAAAAGTATCGTCACACACTATCGAGGAAGAAAAGACAAAGCAGTAGAAAAAGACGAAAAGAAACACTGGTAGAGTTGAGGTACGTTCCGTTAAATTACTAAGTACTTATAGGGATGCATTCCGTATTAACGTCCGAATGACAATTTTTCATCGGAACTTCGATGAAAAACGTCTCGCATGCGCAGAACGATATAGTGTAATAAAGCGCGACGGTCAAATATATGTAGAGTTGTGTTGCAGGTTATGTTTATATTCTGTCAATTTTATGTTTGAATACAAACAAAGAATATTCTATGTTAGAAGTTTTATATCTGAGTTTATTACTTACTTCTATATCATGTATGTGTAAAAACATCCAAGAATCGTTTTATTTCGCGAGACAACCTCGTTGTGTGACGTCACACTTAGACCTGACAGAGAAAATCTATAATTACTACACGTAACATATATACAAATTTTCAATATTTACAGAATAACTTCAATATTTACTTAATATGGAGAGTAATTCGCCACCGTTGCACTTTCGGCGCATCTGTCGATTCTGCTTATCGGATTCGGAACCTCTGAACTCCATCTACGAGCGCAACCAGTCAGTCCAGTTACCACTCCAGTTGCAGATCATGTCCTGCGTTGCTATCGAGGTGAGACTTGAGAGGTGAGTGGCTCTGCCGCTAACAAAGACATAGACTGATATTTATAGTCAATTTTTATATAAGATTCTTATAATTATTCTTGTAAGAATATCAAATATATTTGAAATTGTTTTAGGTATAGTCTTAAGATGTCATAAGTCAATCAGAGGCCAGTATTTATAATTGGATCTTATATTTATGACTGTCTTAAGTTGTTACTCATGTAGCATATATGTTCAAAAGAGGATATAAAACGTCTTATAGATGTCTCAGAGAGCATCTTTATAACATGATGTTTGAAAGACATTTTGATGATGTCTTTAGAATGTCTTGTATCTGTATTTTGGATATACTATTCTCTAGACAGATATATGTCTCAGCATTATTGCGTTTTTCATTGATAGAACTAGTGCGCACTCTATATTTTTATTAAATATATCTTTATTTTTTTTGCTCGGATATGTAAATACAAATGAATAGATGAGTCAAACACTTACATACATCTTTATGTTGATTTATATACAATGGCTTTAAAGTGCACTGAGTACACACTAGTACTGTCAAAAACACTTGATATCTTGAGACATTATTTAAAATTAGAACTGACTATGAATACTAGTCAAAGGCTGTATTAGCATCTTATAACATTACTTAAGACAATCTTAAAATAAGAATGAACTATGAATACCATCTACAGAGCATGGACTGTGCAATTTATATTTACATTTGATCTATAAAAATGTGAGATAGAATGTAAAGACGGTCAGTTTCTATTTTTTTCTATTCAATAGTATAATATTATTAAAAAGAAAGAAAGATTGGCTGTTTTCATACTTCTTTTTATTTTTGTTGATTACATTAGATATATTATTTAGATAAAGATGGCGCAATCCGTGTTCTATGTCTTTGAATGATACTCTTAACAAGTAATCAATGACTGCGTTCAGCAGAGAAAACTAATCAGTTAGTACTTAATAATTTTTTAATATGATTGGTTCTTGTCTTTAGTTCTTCGTTGGATTCAAGTATAGGAACTAATCATATTAAAGAATCACTAAGCGCTAACTGATTAGTTTTTTCTCTGCTGAATGCAGCCAATGATAACCACCGGAGGTACTTCGCCGTATGCTCCTCGTGGGTAAGGACCACAACACAAACTTTTTGCACAATGCTGCATAACCCATAAGACATTAGAAAAACAACCAATCCTTCATTTCATATTCTAGTTGATTCTCTTATGCTTTAAGTATGCATTATGTAAAATCTATACAAAGCAGCCTTAATAAGCTTATTACAATAAATCATTATCTAAGTTTTAAGTCTTAAGTCATAAGAAATTGATCAATCATAGTCGAATGTAAGAAAAATAATCGATTATGATGGATCAATTTCTTATAACTTAAGCTTTAAAGTTTAGGTAATGACTTATTGTAAAAAGCTTCTAATGATCGTTAATATAAGCAGTGATATTGCTGGCTGATCATGATGACGTCGCGATACCACCGAAAGAGGATGTTTAATTTGCATTCTCGCCTAATTTCTTTTTCTTCGGAATTTTTCATCCTAGAACTTTTGAGTATGATGATGGTTTATTTTAATAGATAAACGGTTAAATAAGAGAAAGTTTATTTTATTCTTTCTTATATATATATATATATATATATATATATATATATAATTATTAAAATGAATGATAAAATTGAATTTTGAAAAATTAAATAAATCTAAAAAACAGCTATCTGAAATAAAAGATCTTTTAGAAGGAGTCTTTTAGAATAAAGAATGTATGGTCACTGTAATTATAGATTTTTTAAATATTTTCGTATACAATATTTTTCAAGAATGTACGTCCAACACTGAGAAGAGACTTTTCTAGATCGTCAATAGGTAAGCTCGTTCGTAATGAACCATTTTGTTTCTTAATAGGTCTATACCGAGGACGAGATGCCACAGGTGATCTGTAACACGTGCCGCTGGAATCTGGATTACTTTTATAAATTCAAGTTGCAATGCAAGAAGGCCGACGAGGCATTAAGAGATTGCCTTCTGTCTGGAAAATTACCGAAACCTTTCCCGCCCATTCGTATCAATCCGTTGACGGAGATCGGCAACAAGAGGCCAGTCGAATATAGATCACAGAATGAGGTTTCGAAAAAGCAACGCATCTTTGATGATAGCAAAAATACAAGAGAGAGACGTGAGACCAGAAGAAGGGAGAAAGAGAGGGAAAGGCAGCATCTTTACGAGGAAACAGAGAACGAGCAGAACGGAGACAGTGAGAGTAATCAAGAAACAAGCAACATTAATGAAAACAAAGAACACGAGCCAGCAGAGGTCAAAGTACACGCATGCGATCAATGTGAACGTACATTCGCATTACATCAGGCTCTGCTGCTGCATGTTCAGCGCATTCATGTTCGCGCTCGCAATTACAAGTGCAACGAGTGCGAGAAAAACTTTTTCAATAAACACGATCTGGTCAAGCACTTGAGTATTCATTCGCAGGAGAAGCCGTATTCGTGCTCGATTTGCGAGAAGCAATTCTCGCGGCTGACTTCGCTGCAACGTCACAAGAAGATACACAAAGATGAGACGCACTACACCTGTTCCCATTGCGACGATGAATTTTTCACTACAGAGGAACTCGAAGAGCACAAGAATTCGGCACACAAGAAAGAGAAGCCGTTCCAGTGTAACATTTGCAAGAAGCGCTTCCTATACAAACAGGGTCTGCAACGGCACGAGACATTACATAATAATAAGGATGAAAAATTCGTATGTGATTACTGTAAGGAGACCTTCCGTACTTGCACAAAGCTGGCCCGACATCTGATTACCCATTCTGGTCCTCGACCATATATGTGCAAATTGTGTCCTCGTACATTTCTGCTATCGCATCATTTGACTAGACACATGCGTATGTCTCATTCAAAAGAGAAGCGCCGTGTATACAAGAACGGCAAGAAGAGCTTAAAAGTAAATCAGTTGACGCACGCGAAACGTACATACATGTGCTTCACCTGCGATGTCTGTCAAGAATCTTGTCGTAATCGCGCTGATTATGTCATCCACATCAAGCAGCATATCGAAGCGGGCGAGAAAATGGACCCGGACAGTTTACAGTCCAATATTAAGAAAAATCTTAAACTAAAGTTTAATAAGACGAAAGAAAAAGAAAAAGATCAGCATTCTAATAGGAATGATGATCACGAGTCGTCAGAGTACGTTGTGAAAAAGTTACCAAAGTCGTTAATGCCTTCAGAGAGTGAGAAGAAAGAAGAGCAGGCTAGAAAAAATAAGAAAGAAAATTCCGAGAAACAAGAAAAGGAAGAACCTAATGTGATGTACGTACGTAGCAAAAATGGTAGCATGGTCAAAATTACGACATTCCCACCCATCGAGCGTATACACGATATTCAAGAGCAGAAAGCAATATTTGAGAGTACGAAGCAAACTACTTCAATCGATTCTCCTTCTCAGAGCAGCTCGAAAGGCCTCACGTCATCGCAAACCGAAAAGATTCCCAAAAGCGGCTATGTGGACGACATCGAGTTACAAGCGCAAAAGATCATCACCTCAGTATCCAAAAACCAGAAGACCCTGTTGAAGCACCAACAGAACGGCCAAGATCAATCTAATGAATCGCTAACATCTGTGACGAGAGTCCAGAGCTCTTCTCAAGAAAGTAACAAGGGCAATGATAAATCAGAGACCTTAGCATTCACTCCGAACACCATCAAAGTTAAAAGGATTAAAAGAATTGTGGTGAGGAAATCGGCAGGAAGAAGTAACGAAGAAACATCAGCTAGTACATCTGGTGTCAAGGATGGAGATTCTTTTTTGAGCGGTATTCCTGGCTCGCGTATCAAGCGAGTGATTGTCAGTAGAATTATCCGAAAGAATGACGTTGTTCATGAAGTTATCATGAATCCAGATGGAACTACGATAGATACCGCAGAACTGACAAAACTATCGACTGGCAATGTAGTGAAGCGAATAGTAAGGAAGCTACCGCTAGACAAGAATCAGAATATGGTACAAGCGCTATTGCAATCCACGAAACAACGTCAAAAAATAGAAGATACAGCGAACGAAAAGTTCGAAGTGATGACTTCAGCGTCATCCAGCAACGATACACCAGAGAGCTCGGATGCTTTGGAAAAGAAGCAATTGATCACCCTGGGTCAGGATCAGAAAATAATTTATGTAGAAGCTGAAGCAATTGGAGACGTAGCGGAAATAGTAGATATTGAAAATTAAGGAGTCGCAAGCGAAGAAATATAACAGAATGGTGATTGACGAAATATTATCGAGCGACATGATGAGTCTGAAGATGAACAGCAGCTATCATTCAAGAGAGTATTTGTGAAACGGAAACAATATATATGATGAGGAGCGGGAATACAACGATGACACAGAAGTGACAAAAAAAAATTTGACTCCAGTAGAAAAGAAAGAGACGGAACAAATTGCCATGAAAAAAAGAGGAAGAAATGTTGGAAAATGTTCAGAAAAAAATCCAAAGTACGACGATGAGCAGCAGTAATATCGCATTAAGTGATATATCTACTCCGAAAAAATATCCAATGATCTCGAACAACAAATTATACAAACAAGTGTTACGTGATTATTATTATTACGTCATTATTATTATAAACCTAGCGATACATCAAAGGTGAAGGAGATGAGTCCAGAATAAATAAAATATATAAAATAAAAAACAGAATATATAAAATTTTCGAGACTATCGACAACGTAATGAAGATACAAGCTTAACTTATACCGATACTTGGTAGTACTACGCGTACTAAATCACTTGATACTCTCAATATAAACGCTGGGGAGTTACTTCAATGGCTCTGGTCTGGTACTTCCGAATCGCGCTGGTACGCGTATCAAATGGTATCAAAAAATCTCAATGCGCTGTAAATACTTGTGGCTTGTATGTTAATCTTGCCACTTTAAATGAGGACGTATCAAATATTTAGTTCATTTAATTTGAGATACGCATACTAATCGATTTAACAATATAAAAAGGGTCACAGAAGTCGATTCTGAACAATCTCACGCAAATTCCAGTATCGCGGCGTCATCATACACGAAATAAAAGACTGACTCGGCGGTGGAGGTTGATGTCGCTTAGGAGATCAAGTTAGATCCTGAGATGGAGAAGCCTTCGCAGATTATCGTCGTACAAGAGGAGAGTCAATCTGACTCCAACACTATCACTTAGACAATCAGGATCTCTCCGAGATTACTTCGATCTTTGAGGCATCAGACGACGTATTGGAGATGCAGAAATTGACAGGCAGCAATCTGAACGAATCCGTCATACAGTTGTCGAAATGACACTATCAATTTGAATTAACAATAGCCAGAACAGCCTGGGGAATAAACTCGCAGATGAAAGGTTGAAGATTTATTCTTTTTTTTTTTGCCCAGTTAAGGTACTGTACTAAGTAAAAATTATTCTCCCGAATTCGCTGTATGATTCCAAAGTCTCTCGTATGATCGGTAATTAACTTTAATAAAATTAATCGCTGTTTAGTTTGGTCGACGTCAACATTAACGTTCCGGTAGTGCATATTAATGATACAGAGTATACAAATTTTATTCTTTTATAATTTTGGTTTTTATAATTGACTGTAGTCTCTTTTAATTATTTTGAGCTGTTATCTCTATGTGATTATAATAACGTTCATTGAAGATCAAACTATTTTCTTAAATACTATCCTAATATTTTTCTCACTCTAATGTAATTTGACTTCGACAAATCTATCTGATAGAAATCATACTATCAGTATTGTTAATTTTTTTTTGCTATTTTTTTAATCAGTTTTTCTAATTTTTATTTGCTCAAGAATCTCAATGAGAATCACGATGAGTTAAAGGATATTAAAGGATAGCAATATCTATACAGATAATGAAATCAAATCGATCGTATGAGGATACTTTTTGAAGAATAGACGATTATTGTTCTACCGTTCTTCAATAAATTTAACTTGTATATTTTTTTTTTAACTAGCGCATTCTTGAATAGCGCTTATTCCCTCGAGTTCTTCTATTTCTTTCATTGTTATTTTTAATCGGAATATCTATTATGTACATTTCAAAAAGCTTTTATTTTAATTTACTTTTATAGCTATATAATTATTTTTATTATTTTTCTATGAGTATAACTCGGAAAGTTGTAACATTCCAAATAAATATTTTGGTACATTTGCAATGAGAGGATAATTGTAAACATATGGTTCAGATAGTTTTAGGAGTCATAATTAAAGGAATAAGGAAAGAGAATAAGGCCGTTCATAGTCTGTTCTTATTTTAAGATTGTCTTAAGTAATATCTTATTATCCTTTGATTGATTTGTGACTTCTTAAGACTGTACTTGAATATAAGATCTGACTATGAATACCGACCTAAAAATTTCAATTTATGAAAAATCATGTATTGAATAGTTTTTGATAGGTTGAAATTCTTATTTTTTGTTTCCTGTTCTCTATTCCTTTGATTGTGCGCATTGGTTCTGACTTGTGAACACTGTGTCACAATTGTGAGAAATATGTACATATTGTATCTCCTAGCGGTTTCCTTTATTTGCGCACATTCGCTTCCGTTAATTAAATAAAGAAAAAAAAAGTCATTCTTTGATCACGCAGTGATCATTGGATTTGTCAGCTTTCTAATGTTAAGGACGTAATCAGGACCAGTTGCATCAATTGATTATTACATTCGTAGAATTTTTCCCTTTGATCAATTAAATTTATTAAATATATTTTTAAATATGATCAACTGTATACAATTTATTTAATTCATAATTATATATTGATATCTGAAAATGTTAGAATAATTAGACTTTTTTAGATTCTAGTTTTGCTGTTGTTTTCAAAAGATCTGGGCCGATGTGCCCATAATATAATGGTCTTAAGCCCATAATGGTCTTAAACAAATTGACCAATCACAATCAAAATTGTGATCTTACGTTTTGAAACGCTCGAGTGTGATTGTTTACAGTATTATGATTACTACTAAAGCCTGTTCTACAATCCAATTAAATCCAATTTCATAATAATAACTCGTAGTTAACTTTTAACCGAGATTAAACTTAAAATAAGTTAAACTTGTTAATCATTTTCAACAACAACATCGAGAACATGAGATAATGAAGTATAGATATACGTATGTTCACAGTAAGCATATATATATATATATATATATATACATATGTTTAGAATTATTTTGTTAAATTAGTAAAATGATAACACACAGGTTATCCGATGTTCTATAAAATATTTGGAATTATATAATTATATGAAATACAAAAGTGTATCAACATAGAAAAAGTACCGTTATATTTATTACCATCTCCATTCTAGTTTCTTTCAAACAATAAATATTCAAACAGGTAATTTAAAAGAAAGAAGAAAAGTTAGAATGATTAATACATAATTATCTAATAATTATGCATACAGTAGATATATATAATTATTATATAATATTTTATTCGTAGCGAGAAGATGATATTTAGAATATAAAAAACTTCGATATTTGATTAAATAATTTCAAGTTTTAATTTTATTTTTAATAGATAGAAAAAAATCATATATTTACAATCATATATTACTTAGTCAAAATCAATTCCCAACAAACGAGAATAGATTGAAATGAATTGAAATGGATTTAGATTTTCAGAAATATTGATTCACGAATGTTAAAATGAATGCTTTTCAATCCTGAATAGCTATTCTTCGAAAGAATGGAACGATTGTGATTGGTAGTTTTATAACTAAGGATGTCATTAAACCCGATTAAGGGTTTAAATATAATGGTAAGGGTGTAAATGTAATGGTTTCTGCATACTGGACGCGGAACGCTTGCCGCGCGGCAAAATGTGATGCGATAGCCAATAAGCTTACAGCTCCTAATGTGTTCATTGGTCCGCATCTCATTTTGCCGCGCGGCAAGCGTTTCCAATGTGCAGGGGCTATAAGTTGGATATTTCGTATCAAATACGATTAGTCAATTCTTACAACTACGTTTACGCAATTGTAGATCGGGTTGAAGACTTAAGGGTGCTGTCCCATGACAGTCAGAATTCTGGAAAACAGAAATTTGAAAAAATAATAAAGTGAGGATCAATCAATCAGAATTATTGGGATGCATTAGGGGCTCCGCACAATAAAAGGAACAGGGAACAGAGAACAGAAAATAAAAATTTCAACCTATCAGAAATCATGTATTGTTGGAATACACAGTTTCTGATAGGTTGAAATTCTTATTCCCTATTCTCTGTTCCTTTTATTATTCAGAGTCCCTTACTGTTTATACTACACATATAAGTTAAATACAAAATTATCGAAATTGAATTTCTATACGTATAAAAAGAAATTTATTATTAATAAATAATTGTTCGATAAGTATTCATTAATATGTAAGTATTCATTTTTAAATATAACCATTTATATCATTTGGAAAAAAATTGTTTGTCAATCCGAAATTTTTGTGGATGTAAAAAATGCAAAATTTCAACTAAACAGAACAAGGGGCTAAATTCTATATCTTTAAACAAGATAAAAATTACAAAAATGAGCAAATTTACTAAGTGTTGATTAATAAAATTATTCAATATTCTAGTAAAGTATTCGCTCACTTTTGTAATTTTCATCTCGTTTCAAGATACAGAATCGATTCTCGGACTTAAAAAATCTTGTTTGCGTTGCTTGAAATACTCCCAAATTTTTACATTTAAAAGGAGATAAATATACATTCGGACGTTGAAGAGAGCGAAAGCGAGGATGCCAAGTGCAAAAAGTACAAATAACGCAAACAGATCTAAATATATATTATATGGATGTCGGAACAAAAGAAAGCGAAGATGCCGAATGTAAAAACTACAAGCAATACGAACAGACCTATTAACGCGAAATTTTTGCGTTCCCGCCTTTATACCCTACAATAGTCGCCCGATACTCCCGATAGTCGCTCGCGGTGAGCAATCTTTCCTTTTTCATGTTCGAAGGTCTCCGCGAGCTGTCCGCTCGAAAGTGTGTGGTCCGAGGTTTGCGGTGCTGAGTATTTTCATCCACTCCGTTGTGAATCTGTTAACGTAATAGACGTCGCACTGGTAGTCCTCTCTGCATCCGAGTGATTTGTAACTAAGCAGGTAAGCAGACGAACAATAGAGATGGCCATTTTGCTGAATTTTACGCATGAAACCAACCATGGCACGCGGTGCACACGGTTGCGCCGCCGCCGGAGCAAAGCGGCCTGAAGCGATTCTCCTTCATGGCAAATCATACAATGCTGCCACGAATTGGGCACGTGTTTTATTCAATTGCCATCGTCCTCGTCGCATCGCACGATCAACCCGCGCCGCGGACGTGCATCGTAATCTCCCGTTGGAAAATCCGAAACGAGTCGCTTCGCTGGGAGGCGAATGATTTCCGTGGCGGTAATTCCGATAATTTCGGCAGAATGCGCGGTGGCGATGGTAGCCGCGTCTCCGCCGTCGTCGACGACTCACGACGGAAGCGGGGCGGCAACGCGGTCGCCATCGCCATCGGGGGGCGATCTCTCCTCCGTGCATGGCACAAAAAAAGCTCATCGCGCGCGGCGTCGCTCTTCGGATGCCATCTTCGCGCCGCGCTGCGCCGTGCCGCGCGGCGTACGCGCGTATATACGTACATACATACGTACATCTATACGTACGTGCGCCGTTACGTTAGTACATAACGTATTCGCACGCGCACACACACACATCGGCGTCGTCAAGTGGGGGTGAGCACGGAAAGAGAGAGCGCGCGCGAGCCGACCGAGCCAGCCACGTTGTATGTACGGCGCGCCGCGGAGATCGGAGGTGTAATCGTAATCGTCGAGCGAGAGAAAGCACGGTAAAAGACCACGAGCTATACCAATTATCGTTTCCCTTCGTCGTCCCGCGACGGCGGGGACGCGGACATCGCGTACGACATACGCGAAACGTCCGGCGACGCCAGCGTCGCTGACCTCGTGCACGCGCTCTCGGGCCGCTCGCCCGCCATTGCGAGAGTGCGAGGAGTGCGCGGATGACCCGCGCGAAGCACGTGTACGCGCCCATCGCGTTTCCGCCGCGATTCGACGAGTTGGGAAAACTTGTGGGCGGGAAAAATGCCATTTTATTTAACGCGCCACGTTCAGCGGGGGCCTGCCGGCCGCCGCCACCGCCGCTTCGATCGCTCCGATCCGGCCGGCGCCATGCGGCGCGCGGGGTCGTCTCGTTCCCCGTCCGTCCTCTGCGCTCTGATTCGTTACGGCCGGCCGGCCGCTTCCTGCCTGCGCGAGACTCGTCGTCGCGTTACTCGCGTTATGCCCGCGCTGACCCCGCGCCTCGTAATCTCTTCTTGGCGAATAAAGTGCGTGTTCATTTCGAGTGTCTCACAGCTTCCCCCTGCTCGCCCCGCAACGCGCGCGTTGAGCGTTCCCCGCCGCGCCGCGTCAGGAGACATCTGTGTGCGTCGTGTGCGACGCGAGCGTGCCTCGCACGAGACGCGCGGTCGGACACGACAGATTCGCCCGTCGTATAGCCACGGCAACCGGTTGAGTAGGATACTCGGGAGATCCTTTGTTTCTCTGAACGAAACCGATAATAATTGCGCTTTCTCCGCTGGCCATATTCAGAGTGCGCTGACTAGATATTCCTCCCCTCCCTCCTTCCCTTCTTGATAAACGCCAGCTAGAGAGTCTTTGCGGAGCGACGTGAACGTGTATTCCTCGCGATTTATTTCTAAGGTTGTAATGTAATTTTATTGAATATGTAATATGTAGCATATGTTGCGACGTAAAAAATGGGTACATGATATAAGGAATCAATATTATATATATATATTGTGTACCTATGCAGTGCAGAAGCTTGCAGCAACATTGTAATGTTGCTACAATATTGCTGGAACATTGCGATGATGATGCAATATTACTGTAGCGTTGCAATGTTGCTGCAATATTGCTGGAATAATTTATGTTCCATGGCCCAGTTTCGCAACTCATGGTTAATTCTTAATCGAGGTTCAAGGTTCGAGGTTCACCTCGATTAAGGGTTAACCATAAGTTGTAAAACCGGGTCTATATGTTTTAAAGGTAAAGTTATATAATAATTATCTTAATTATCTATAGATATGTATATATTTATATGTGTACAATTGCAGGACTTAAAAAATGAGTTCGAGCGCGTGTTATAAATGTAACCGTATGGGCCACTTTGCAAGAGAGTGCCCACAAGGTGGTGGTGGAGGCAGAGGAGATCGTGGCCGGGATAGAGACGGTGGTTTTGGACGTGGACGAGAGAAGTGCTTCAAATGCAACCAATTTGGACATTTTGCGCGCGAGTGCAAGGAGGATCAGGATCTTTGCTACCGCTGCAACGGTGTCGGTCATATTGCGAAAGACTGTCAGCAGGTTAGTACAGTCCTGCGAAATCGGAATTGAACATGGAGCACCCGAACGTGCCGAACTTGTGGAACAGATTGGACACAGGTATTGCTGTTGACAGGGACCGGAGTTGAGTTGTTACAATTGTAACAAGACTGGTCACATGGCCCGCAGCTGCCCGGAGGGTGGCAATGATTCTGGCCGTTTCGCGATGCAAAGCTGCTATAACTGCAACAAGACGGGCCACATCGCTCGTAACTGCACCGAGGCCGGTGGCAAGACTTGCTACATTTGCGGCAAGACTGGTCACATAAGCCGCGAATGCGACCAGGATGACAGGAAGTAGGAGATAACCGGAATCCGTGCCGCTCGCTTAATAATGATAAGCAGTTTACCGTCGCGCACGCCGTTCCCGGGGATAGATAGATAGATAGAGATGTGCGGACTTATATCGTGAAGCATACAATTCGTATCAGCGAGGACGTATCGTCGCCGCCGTCATCGTCATCGACATGATCACGATTGTAACCACATCGTGATTACTATGAGTCGATTTCGTTGTCGTCGTCGCCATTGTCGTCGTCGTTGTCATAATCGGATTTCTATCTCTCCATGCTCCTAACTCCCAGAAGTCAGTCTACCCCCCAGCCCTCCTCGCCCTTATTCCTAATCTCCTTCCCCTCTCTGCCCACCGTTGTTCTCTTCGCAAGGATATTTTTTTTTTCTTAAACGATGTCTTTAAGTTTTTATTGCTGTTAAACACCGACACTTGTACACGTACCATTTGCTACTACGTGTGAATGAGAGCAGGGTTCATTCTACAAGTAACACGTCTAACGTTTACATTTACACGTATATGATACACACACACACACACATACACACACACACACACACACAAACTGACACGCATACACACTCATATGCCATGCATACATACACAATCAACTATGTAATAATATTATAAACATTCTATTGAATTAGAGTAGAGACATGAATCCTCTGTCCCCTGACTTTCAAACTGTCTCGTATGCGCATTGTTTTCTGATGCAAGATGTATGGATTCTCGGGAAGCACACACGTAGCCTTGCCGAGATTTGGCGCGTATTTGGCGGTTTTGCGTGATGTATTGATGTAACGCGCGAGGCTACCTCCACGCGCGCCCTCGACGGCTCTCGCATTTGTATAAATAAAGCAAATTTTATGATACGATACCTCGGTTATAAACATGAAAATAACGAAAAGTAAACGGGCCACCCGTTGACAGAGAGGAACGTCTTCGTCATTGACACGAATTCACGAACGAGTCACAAGGTACGGGCTCACGTCGCACCACTTTTCGCATCCACGCATCTTGTATTCTCCGGTCCTCCCTCTCGAACTCTCTAGCCGACACTCATAAATCGACAAATGAAGGAACGAAAGAAAGAATTGAAGAAAAGGATTCGGAAGCGAACGCGAGAACATGGGAAAAAGAGTATGCGAGAACACATGCCGGCACCCTGAATGCATAAAAATAAGATTTAGTAACGTTAATTTTAAATGTGTAAGGATGTAATGAGGATTTCACCGAGCTATTACTATGCGATCAAAGTCTCATTACAGATGCTTCAAAGCATTTCATTTATCAATCAGAGGAAAAAAATTTTACTAACTGACTAATAAAAATATACTTTGAAGCATTTGTAGTATGTGATCGTACTCTATGTCACTTTTTGTGCGTTCTTTTGTTTCTTTTTCTATTTTCTTTTTATATACCGGACTCGTCTAGTTTGTATAGGTACGGACAAAAACGAAGTATAGTTGTAGGATTGTCACAGTGTTTACAGGTTTATATGCAATTAAACTCATACCCTCTGACTTCGACGAAGAGTGCGTTTCACTTGATTCTCGCAATGTTCGTGATCATCCTTGGCAGTTTATCGCATGTTTTACAAGGACTTAATGGTTGCGAGCGTTGTGAGAGTCAAATAGAACACGCTCAAAGTAGGGCGAAAGAGAGAGAGAGAAAACGTGTGCGCTTTCTACAGTTTTCTGAACGTAAAAAGAAGGAAGGATATGTTATGATTGATACCAAGTAAGATACGTCCGAAATGATTGCTACATCGATATGTATGTATATATACATATAAACACGGTGGTCTGTACAAGTTGACACATTTTGTACGTACAATCATAATTGTTAATGACAAGACTATAGATTCATATTGTTCATACTCTTGACTGTTGATAGGCGATAAAAAGAAAGCCCACAGAGGAAGAAGTTGTACCAACCTTACTATATCCTTACATGTTGCTGAAAATACTTCGTTACTAGGTATATGTATATATATATCCGCATATGTGTATACATATATTTATGCATATGCAGGAGCTGTATTTTGTACTGTAAAAAGCTAGCTTATACTCTGGTCGTTGCTGGTGACTAATTCCGATAATGCGATCCTTTGTATTTTTGCGATCGTTTGTATTTCCACGAGAAAAATTATATTTTTCATGTATAGAGTATAATCACAAAGTGATGACCGATACTGTCTTTTTTTTCCTAACTCATAAGTTGTAGGGACAAAATTTTTGTAAATGATGCGATCAAAGAAAAGGAAGTCATACTCAAAGGAAAAAAAAAAGAAGCTATTATTCCCCGTTACACGCGCAGGGGACGACCACTTAACGCTCGACGCGAGTACAAAGTGAGATTTTTTTCTTATAAAACGAATATCAAAGGAAGGATAAACATGCATGCACGCGTACCTAATACGGCGAAATTATATTAGCGAGAGCAGTAACTCGTCCGATCGCGCGGTATTTCATGAAGTAAAATGCAAGCCGAGTTATACTATAATTAGGATAAGAGATTAGAATCCCGACTACTTTTTTGAAATACCCGGACCACGTTTATGCTAAGTAGCTGCAGTGCAACTATATCAATTCGATCATCCGAATGGGAGGGGGAAGGGGTAGTCTTTGTTCAAGCCCAAAAGGCGGATCGTCGCGTGGACGTCGCTGACGCGGCCTGCTGACGTGGATAATTCCACGCACGACGTCCACGCTACTCATACGCTTCGCGCGGCTTCCGTGGTTCTACCAGCAGCGACAATTGTGTATTAACGTTCAGAAGCCAGGCGTGCCTGACTATCTCGGTGGAAGAAAAGGCCCGGGGCCGGTCGTCTCCTTGGACAATGGCGTACCCGGGGGTGTTTCTTATAGTAACCCAGGTGTCCTGCAGCAATTTTATACACTTAACACATTGTGCGGGACTTAAAAAAAAATGCCGGATCTCATTGCGTAGTTTCAGTGTGCTAGTGCTCACGTCAACGACGAGACTTGGAGAGGATCAAACAAATTGTACTTCGCTATATTGGACCTTCGCGGACCTCTGATGCTATCAATACATGGACACACGTCGGACCAAGTATTCCGGACGACGCGAAGTGTCTAGACGGACGTCTGAAGACATGCGGGTTTAATCTTTGATTAGTTTTAACGGACTTTACGACAGATTGGACGAATTTGAGAGATCTTTTGCTTCTCGCTGATAATCAGAATGAAGTGAAGGATGGGTCAATTCACAATTTGAAGTTGGATGTCTGTATACTGGATGCTGATCTTTCTCAGACGTCATTTTTATACTGTCTGGCTAGGTATGACTTAGCTACACATCACACGTAAGAGCAAATAATCTGGATAGACACAGCCGATTCCCTCCGCGGCACGGTCTCTGTGGTTCGTTGATAGCACCAGAGGTTCAGACGAGCATACGAATAATTATTATAAAGAATAAAAAATCGAGTGCGATTAGGGCACCTGCGCTTTTGTCTCTGCTACAAGACTTACGTACGAATATTGTAAAGAATACGACTGTTACAGTGTATGAATCTAATTCGACCGGCGGCGCACGCCGGGTCCACGGCTCGTCTTATATATTAAACTAATCTATTAATACTTAAAAAAAAGAAGAAGAAGAAACGAGAGAGAGTGAGAGAGAGAAAGAAAGAAGGAAGAAGACAAGGAGGATGAAGAGGAAGAAGAGAAAAAAGAATATGAAGTATTCGAAGTTATGTTTTTAAACAGAATTTTTGAAATAGAATGTGTACGGAGAGGCAAAGGAATGATCTCTTTTTCTGTGTTTGTCCCCTAAACGCTTTATGTTCCTTCCTCTCTTTAAAGATCCTTCCTCTTAAAGAATTGATTCTACTGCGACAACAGATCACATCTTCACGACGTCAAGCTTTGAGTATCTGTTACAGGCTCATTTCTCTATCAAAATAGAAACTTTAATCTCTGTTTAATTTATCTACTTTTTATCTCAGAATCCCATATAGTACACTTTATCCAAGAGACGCCTTGGGAAATCCTTAGAAAATCCTTTGAAGGTCTGCTGTATGCGATTAGAACACTGAGAAAAAAATTCTGATTAAACAAACAAAAAAGCTTAACAGGAGTGGTATTTTGATAAGATTTCAGGTTATCAGATAACCAGAAATTCTAATTAAAAAAAGTAAATTAAACCGAGATTAAAATTAATCTACATTAGTAAAAATAAACAATAGTAGAATCTTCTAAAGATTCTTTGTAATATACATTGGGTGATATGACCGAGAATGAAATTGATTTAAAGTTCAGCTACCCTTAAACATTCCCTCCCTTTATAGAAATTTAATACTGGAAGATAGTAATTGATTATTTATTTTGAGTTTTAAGAGCACTGTTGTTTAATGCACAAAACAAGTAATTAATTATCTTCTTAAATTGCATTTCTATAAGGCTAGATTCATTTGGCATTCGGAAATGAAAACGACGTTGGAATCGCGAAATGAGTATAACGTTTTTCTCCCAGTTTCTCTTTCCAAACATCTCGTTCAATTAATACACGCTTTGTGGTTTCAGGGATAATAAATTGTATATTGAATACGCACAGATTGCTGTTCGAGAAGAATTACATAATCATGCCAACGTACGCTGTGGCTTGAATTCACGCAATCTGCAGCAATCTACGTGTTATCATTAAATGGACTCGCCACAAATTGATTCATTAATTAATTAACAGTCGTCCAACATATTTGCCTTGGAATTTCTGGAAGAGAAAGCTTACAAAAAATTAATGCGTTACACAAGAATTGCTCTGCGATTCTAGATTGTTAATCAGCAATGATTCTCAATGCTGCAAATTAAATTGTAAATTTTTATAATTTCCGAAAGCGAAATTCTACGGTACATTCTTCTCACATGGAAGTTGTGAGATTTTTACTGCATGTTGGACAGGTAAATCGCTGTAACTCTCTTGTCAAGACTAAACTTCACTGATTTACCGCGTTAGTTTCTTGCATTTCTCCGCGATGCTGTCGTCTGTCATACATTCCTTAACTACGCATTATATATTTTTATCCATGCGATTATCACCGATTAACTCGGTCACTTATGAATGCTCATGAATAAGTGGACCGTAACTTGTTCTTATCAAAACTAAACTTTAACATTAATTTATCACGTTAGTCGCTTGCATTTCTCCACGGTGCTGTCGCCTGCCATACATTCCCTAACTACGCATTACATGTTTTTATCTACGCAGTTGTTATCGACGATTGACTTGGCTGCTTATAAATACTTATGAATGAGCTGATACAGGAGGGAAACGAGTGAATGGATGATCGAGCGAGCTCTATGGTACGCCTAGAAAAAAAAACAAACAACTGCGTAAATAACATCCACGTGTCCTCAGGTAGGCGGCGAGAACAGTCTCTTATCGATGCGGGGTGAAGAGAACGAGAGAGAGATTGGATGGTCTCTCTATCATTGATATGGACGAGCGGAACATCGAAACGAGTTAAAAGCATAGAACTTATTGGAACGGGAATAACCTATCCAAGCAATGAATGGAAGGTGTGAGCAACATCTGAGAGATAGAAGATGTATTCCGTATATATTTCTATCCTGCTCAGTAACTTCTTCTTTCTGCGCATGTGCCCAAAAAGGACAGAAATATCTTTCTGTCCTCTAGATCTCGCTCACAGCTCGACATCCGTATTCTCCTTCCACCACTATAAGTTCTATGGTTAAAAGGCAGAATCGCGGAACACGCGCATCCGGTTGTCGCGTGATCTCGCCCGTCCACCCACCCACACCTCGCACCCCGAATCTACCCGAATCATCATCGCCGTCGATCGCCGTCGTCGCGACGCGCCGTCGCCGCATCTGTCAAAATCGGCTCGAAGTGTCACTCGCGGTGACGATCGGTGATGATGTTATGGTGGCTCTCGCATCGCAGGTAGAATGTGAAAAACCGGAGGACAGGTGGGAGTCGTAGGAGAGTCTGGAGAGTCCAGATTGTCCAGAAGAATCGTGCACGTCATCGAAGACAGAAGGACACGACACGAGGCGTTGGGAAAGGACAAAAAAAATACGTGGATTAACCGAAGGATGCGTTCACGCACGGATGGTGCAACCACGGCGACCGGCGTCCATTCGTCTCATTCGCGATAACAACGAGGTGCTGGAGGTGGTGTAGGGGAGCGACGGAGAAGAGGGAGGAGTAGGGAGAAGCGGGAGTAACACGAGGAGTAGCAACACCGGAGGGGAGATCAGAAGAGTCTTCGTTGTCGTCGTCGTCGTAGTCGTCCTCGTCGTCGTCCTCGTCATCATCAACCTCGTCATCGCGCAGGCAGCAATGGCCGCCGTCGACGGGATCGAGGAGCTGAGAACCGAGATCGAGCGTCTGTCGCGTGAGCTCGACTTGGCCTCCACCGAGAAGATACAGTCGGCTCAGTACGGACTCGCACTACTCGAGGAGAAGTCGGCCCTGCAGCAGCGATGCAACGACCTCGAGGCGCTCTACGAAAATACGAAGCATGAGCTGGAGATCACGCAGGAGGTTAGTGCATGTCTGGAACCTTGAGTTTGTTTTTTTTTTTATTTTTGTCATCCTGGACCGCATTGGAACTCTCCTCGTCTCCCTTTTGCCAAATGTTAAACGTATCCCTGGTGAAAAAATTCTTGTATTATCTCAATAAATAATATTTTGAAGAATTTGTTGTACTGTAAATTCATGAAAATTTCTGAAAAGAAATACTTTGAATTTTTTTATTTTTTATAAATTTTCGTCTAAAATTGCAAAATAATTAAAAATCTTAGAATTTACATGTGTAATCTGACAAATATTTTTGGGTTGTAACAACAAAAACAGACAAAATATACTTTACTTTTCAAAATAATCCTCCTTGATGTTAGATTTTATATTATATTATTATTTAGACTTATTATTTACATAACTCTTTTGTTAATTGTGGCTGATAAAGACTATGATTAAAGTTGAAATTATTCCACTTACAACATATAATTATTACTAATTTTTATATTATGTTAATACCTCATACATGCTCGGCTTGGCTTATTATTATTAAGTTGTATTTGTTGGATGATTATAATTATTATTATTGTTATTATTGGATATTTACATCATGTGTTTTCCATGACATCAATATATTTCGCATATCTCGATACACGTGGTGTATTTTCTGTTCCTACTAGACTGTTCTAGAACTCTCTTTCTCGCTTTAGACAAATATTAAACGTATATCTATCTTACTTTAAGTTCAAAAAGTGTACACGCTAGTTCAGCCACAAAAAACAGACCTAAAGTCTCAAAACATTTTAAAGTTCATAGTTGGAATGCTATTCAGAGTATTTATTACGTTCCTGTGAATATCCTTGAAAACGTTTTAAGTTTTGAAAATAACAAAACCTATTCTACAATATGCTCTTTGTTTCTTGTTTCTTGCTTCTTCTCCCTTTGTAACCATTTTATCGACAATTGTATTTCTTGCCATGTGTTTCCTATTCTTTCAAAGTTCATTAACTTTTATCTCGAACGACAAAAAACCAGATATGAAGCAAAAGAACAAGATATAAAAAAATAGCAAAAAAACAAGAAACAGAAAACAAAAAGCACATTGTAGAATAACCATAAAATCTAAAAAAACCAGGTTCACAGTTTTTGATAAAGATATAAATTGTTAAGATTAGCCATCCATCTTATTTGTTAAATCTATTTTCCTCGAATTTCATGTTGTTCCTAAAAAAACATCATGAAAGGTAAACATTTTCAAGACATCGCAAACATTTAAAGAAATGTTACGAACAGCATTAACAGCATAACGTATGGACTTTAAAAAAAGTTTTGAGGCTTTGTATCAAAGATATAAAATATATTGATGTCATATCATGAAAGATACTTTGAAAGATAAAATGCAATTTTGTTATCTGAGATCCTTATCTGTTCCTTTATTGCAATCACACATATGAAAAATTCTAGGAAGGATATAGACTGTCTCAGCACTTCTGAAAAATGTTTTAATTCTTATATTATAAAAATCTGAGAAATTTTTTAAAAAGTTGCAAAATTATAAGAAACTTTAAAAAATTATATAAAGAATTTAAAAAAGTTTTACCAGGAATATTTATTTTACTTTAAGCACAAACAGTATACACTAGTTCAACTATAAAAAATATATCTCTTTTGGGACCGACTCTGTCACTCGACACGCCCGTGAGAGAAAGAAAATTTATTCTGCTCTTGCGACAGTTTGCTTGGCAGTAGCGATTAATGTGTAACGAATACAAATGAGACGTGGGCGAACTTTTATTACTGTATAGTAAACATTTTACATGGAGCGTATGAAATGAGTATGTGGAAAGAAATAGTGTTCCTTTTTCTTGGAATAGAATAGGTAGGAGGAGATAGAGTCAACCATATTAATTTGACTACAGGAGGAATGTGGAGTAACTCATTCAGTGTATCTGCTATTGGTATTACCCAATCAATATACGGATATCTATATTTAGTTATTTAATCCGGAATGCCATTTTTGAAAAGAATACTTATAAGATGCTAATTGGATCTATTTTTTTAATTTTTTTATTTAGAATTTAGTATATTCGCTGAACAGTCTTGAATAATCGGTCTTATTATTCTTATCACTTGCGTCACGTAAACACATTTCTTGTATAACGATGTATATTTACTCTTGACTTAAGTGCCTATTTTTTCGTTATTTTAGGCGTTAGCAAAGTTTCAAACAACTACAAAAATAACAGCAAAAAGCGGCATCGAACAAGAAGAGAGTCTTCTTAATGAGAGCGCCGCTCGGGAAACGTCTTTGCAATCGCAGATCATCGAATTAGAAAACGAAACAAAACAGGTTTGTATCAAGTCGGCAATTATCGACTTTTGCAAAATAGAAATGCATTTTAATTCAGTATCGTAACTCAGCAAACAAATTGTCGCCAAGTTGACATCAAACTTATTCAGAGTTGGTGATAAATTTGATACCATTCTGTCAGCTATAAGTTTTGATTTTGTTAGCACACCTTACATACATAATCAGACAGGAAATTGGCAGCAAAAACTGAGCAAAGTTTTGATCAGTTTTTGCCGTCAATTTACTGTCAAATTATTAGGAAGCTTTGCACGGTTTTGTCGACAGTTTGTTCTCATATTATGTCAGCAGATTTTCTTACATATCTGTCAGCAATTTGTTAACAATATTGAATATAACAGAATTTGCATCAAATTTAGTACCTTTTTGTCGACAGAATTTTTAGCAAGCATTTGACAAAATCAGTTTTCGACAGACTTTGCTGAGCGGGAATTTGTTTTCAGTTACGGCATGAATTGGAACGGGTGGAGGCAGAGCGTGATCACGCGCTGCAGGAGCGCGAGGAGGTCGGGAAAGATCATCAGCAGGCGGAGACGGAGCGTAAGTCGTTGCGAACGGAATTGCGGGAGTGTAGATTCCGCGAGACTCGTCTGCTTCAGGACTACTCCGAGCTGGAGGACGAGAATATCTCATTGCAGAAGCAAGTGTCCGGTTTGCGGTCAAGTCAGGTGGAGTTTGAAGGTGCCAAACACGAGATTCGACGACTCACGGAGGAGGTCGAACTGCTGAACAGTCAGGTGGAAGAGTTGACGAATCTGAAGAAAATAGCAGAGAAGCAGATGGAGGAGGCGTTGGAGTCTCTGCAGGCCGAACGTGAAGCCAAATATGCTTTGAAAAAGGAACTGGATCAGAGGATCAACAGCGAGTCGATCTATAATCTTAGCAATTTGGCGCTTTCCATTCGAGGCATCACGGAGGATCAAACGATATGCAGCGACGGTGAGGATGACTCGCCTGCGCTGCGTAGAATCGAGGCGGACTTAAAGACTCAAGAACCAGGCACATCTGCAACCGATAAACAGGTTGATTTGTTCTCTGAAATTCATTTGAACGAATTGAAGAAACTGGAGAAGCAGCTAGAGCTCGCGGAGACCGAAAAAGCCCATCTGACGCAAAATCTGCGCGAGTCACAGTACGCGGTCGAAAAAAGTCAAGCGGAATTGCAATCGTTCGTTGCGCGAATAGTGCAGCTAGCAGCGCATGTGCAATCGTTACATCATCTTCACTCGAAATTGCCGGAAAAACAGAGTGAAGAGACGACGTTAGATAAACTCAATCAGGTACATTTATATGTATATGTCGCCGCAGAAAAATGACGCAAGTAAAAAATTAACGAATTTTTGAATAATGAAAAGAAATCAATCCTAAAAAACTAATATATTTTTGTGGAAAAATGACAATACATTGCTTATATGAAAAAGTTCTATAATTTTTTGGGTGAAATTTAAGAATGTAGTGTTTGAACTGTGAAAACTCATGATATATTTTTCAAGAATACATTATAATTGAAAGTATATATGAAAAGAAAGTGAAGTTATGCATATTCTATACATATATCACTATTCTAATTAAAACATTATTTCAGAAAGAATTAAAAAAATATTCTACTAAAAAGTTGCTAATTTTTAAACTTGTCACTTTTCTCAAAGCGATAATATTGTTTTTCAAAAATAAAATAATTTTATGACATGAAGAAAACAAATAAAAACTACATTCAGATATTTTGCTATAAAACATTATGCTAATGACACTACTGTTTTAACAGGCCGTTGTGCAATATCATCAATGGAGCACAATGTCCGCTCGCGAGATTAATCAGTTGCAGAAAGATCTGTCCGAATTGGAGAACGGATTAACTGTGTCAGATTCCACACAGCAGCTAAGAACGGAGCTAACGAATTTGAGGAACAAGGTACACATTTATCTATATCTTATTACGTTTCATGAAATGTACTTCTAACAGCGTTATCGCGAAACTTGCAACAAAGGGTGAAGGTATTAGTTAAAAACTATACTGTTGTAAGATATAAAAAGATATGAAAGAAAAAAGAACAGAGTTTGCTAGTGGCAAGAGTATAAGTGTGTGCAATAAAACTGGCGCAA